TGTCCCCCTCATTCTCTCCCGGTCTGAGGGAAGGGCTCCCCGCTTCTGTCTCCCGCGGGCTCCCTTCTGTGTCCCCCTCATTCTCTCCCGGTCTGAGGGAAGGGCTCCCCGCTTCTGTCTCCCGCGGGCTCCCTTCTGTGTCCCCCTCATTCTCTGGGGTCTGAGGGAAGGGCTCCCCGCTTCTGTCTCCCGCGGGCTCCCTTCTGTGTCCCCCTCATTCTCTGGGGGTCTGAGGGAAGGGCTCCCCGCTTCTGTCTCCCGCGGGCTCCCTTCTGTGTCCCCCTCATTCTCTGGGGGTCTGAGGGAAGGGCTCCCCGCTTCTGTCTCCCGCGGGCTCCCTTCTGTGTCCCCCTCATTCTCTGGGGTCTGAGGGAAGGGCTCCCCGCTTCTGTCTCCCGCGGGCTCCCTTCTGTGTCCCCCTCATTCTCTGGGGTCTGAGGGAAGGGCTCCCCGCTTCTGTCTCCCGCGGGCTCCCTTCTCTGTCCCCCTCATTCTCTCCCGGTCTGAGGGAAGGGCTCCCCGCTTCTGTCTCCCGCGGGCTCCCTTCTCTGTCCCCCTCATTCTCTCCCGGACTGAGGGAAGGGCTCCCCGCTTCTGTCTCCCGCGGGCTCCCTTCTGTGTCCCCCTCATTCTCTGGGGGTCTGAGGGAAGGGCTCCCCGCTTCTGTCTCCCGCGGGCTCCCTTCTGTGTCCCCCTCATTCTCTGGGGTCTGAGGGAAGGGCTCCCCGCTTCTGTCTCCCGCGGGCTCCCTTCTGTGTCCCCCTCATTCTCTGGGGTCTGAGGGAAGGGCTCCCCGCTTCTGTCTCCCGCGGGCTCCCTTCTCTGTCCCCCTCATTCTCTCCCGGTCTGAGGGAAGGGCTCCCCGCTTCTGTCTCCCGCGGGCTCCCTTCTCTGTCCCCCTCATTCTCTCCCGGTCTGAGGGAAGGGCTCCCCGCTTCTGTCTCCCGCGGGCTCCCTTCTGTGTCCCCCTCATTCTCTGGGGGTCTGAGGGAAGGGCTCCCCGCTTCTGTCTCCCGCGGGCTCCCTTCTGTGTCCCCCTCATTCTCTGGGGTCTGAGGGAAGGGCTCCCCGCTTCTGTCTCCCGCGGGCTCCCTTCTGTGTCCCCCTCATTCTCTGGGGGTCTGAGGGAAGGGCTCCCCGCTTCTGTCTCCCGCGGGCTCCCTTCTGTGTCCCCCTCATTCTCTGGGGTCTGAGGGAAGGGCTCCCCGCTTCTGTCTCCCGCGGGCTCCCTTCTGTGTCCCCCTCATTCTCTGGGGTCTGAGGGAAGGGCTCCCCGCTTCTGTCTCCCGCGGGCTCCCTTCTGTGTCCCCCTCATTCTCTCCCGGTCTGAGGGAAGGGCTCCCCGCTTCTGTCTCCCGCGGGCTCCCTTCTGTGTCCCCCTCATTCTCTCGCGGTCTGAGGGAAGGGCTCCCCGCTTCTGTCTCCCGCGGGCTCCCTTCTCTGTCCCCCTCATTCTCTCCCGGTCTGAGGGAAGGGCTCCCCGCTTCTGTCTCCCGCGGGCTCCCTTCTGTGTCCCCCTCATTCTCTCCGGTCTGAGGGAAGGGCTCCCCGCTTCTGTCTCCCGCGGGCTCCCTTCTGTGTCCCCCTCATTCTCTGGGGGTCTGAGGGAAGGGCTCCCCGCTTCTGTCTCCCGCGGGCTCCCTTCTGTGTCCCCCTCATTCTCTGGGGGTCTGAGGGAAGGGCTCCCCGCTTCTGTCTCCCGCGGGCTCCCTTCTGTGTCCCCCTCATTCTCTGCCGGTCTGAGGGAAGGGCTCCCCGCTTCTGTCTCCCGCGGGCTCCCTTCTCTGTCCCCCTCATTCTCTGCCGGTCTGAGGGAAGGGCTCCCCGCTTCTGTCTCCCGCGGGCTCCCTTCTGTGTCCCCCTCATTCTCTGCCGGTCTGAGGGAAGGGCTCCCCGCTTCTGTCTCCCGCGGGCTCCCTTCTGTGTCCCCCTCATTCTCTGGGGGTCTGAGGGAAGGGCTCCCCGCTTCTGTCTCCCGCGGGCTCCCTTCTGTGTCCCCCTCATTCTCTGCGGGTCTGAGGGAAGGGCTCCCCGCTTCTGTCTCCCGCGGGCTCCCTTCTCTGTCCCCCTCATTCTCTCCCGGTCTGAGGGAAGGGCTCCCCGCTTCTGTCTCCCGCGGGCTCCCTTCTGTGTCCCCCTCATTCTCTCCCGGTCTGAGGGAAGGGCTCCCCGCTTCTGTCTCCCGCGGGCTCCCTTCTGTGTCCCCCTCATTCTCTGCCGGTCTGAGGGAAGGGCTCCCCGCTTCTGTCTCCCGCGGGCTCCCTTCTGTGTCCCCCTCATTCTCTGCCGGTCTGAGGGAAGGGCTCCCCGCTTCTGTCTCCCGCGGGCTCCCTTCTGTGTCCCCCTCATTCTCTGGGGGTCTGAGGGAAGGGCTCCCCGCTTCTGTCTCCCGCGGGCTCCCTTCTCTGTCCCCCTCATTCTCTCCCGGTCTGACGGAAGGGCTCCCCGCTTCTGTCTCCCGCGGGCTCCCTTCTGTGTCCCCCTCATTCTCTGGGGTCTGAGGGAAGGGCTCCCCGCTTCTGTCTCCCGCGGGCTCCCTTCTGTGTCCCCCTCATTCTCTGGGGTCTGAGGGAAGGGCTCCCCGCTTCTGTCTCCCGCGGGCTCCCTTCTGTGTCCCCCTCATTCTCTCCCGGTCTGAGGGAAGGGCTCCCCGCTTCTGTCTCCCGCGGGCTCCCTTCTGTGTCCCCCTCATTCTCTCCCGGTCTGAGGGAAGGGCTCCCCGCTTCTGTCTCCCGCGGGCTCCCTTCTGTGTCCCCCTCATTCTCTGGGGGTCTGAGGGAAGGGCTCCCCGCTTCTGTCTCCCGCGGGCTCCCTTCTGTGTCCCCCTCATTCTCTCCCGGTCTGAGGGAAGGGCTCCCCGCTTCTGTCTCCCGCGGGCTCCCTTCTGTGTCCCCCTCATTCTCTGGGGGTCTGAGGGAAGGGCTCCCCGCTTCTGTCTCCCGCGGGCTCCCTTCTGTGTCCCCCTCATTCTCTCCCGGTCTGAGGGAAGGGCTCCCCGCTTCTGTCTCCCGCGGGCTCCCTTCTGTGTCCCCCTCATTCTCTGGGGGTCTGAGGGAAGGGCTCCCCGCTTCTGTCTCCCGCGGGCTTCCTTCTGTGTCCCCCTCATTCTCTCCCGGTCTGAGGGAAGGGCTCCCCGCTTCTGTCTCCCGCGGGCTCCCTTCTGTGTCCCCCTCATTCTCTCCCGGTCTGAGGGAAGGGCTCCCCGCTTCTGTCTCCCGCGGGCTCCCTTCTCTGTCCCCCTCATTCTCTCCCGGTCTGAGGGAAGGGCTCCCCGCTTCTGTCTCCCGCGGGCTCCCTTCTGTGTCCCCCTCATTCTCTGGGGGTCTGAGGGAAGGGCTCCCCGCTTCTGTCTCCCGCGGGCTCCCTTCTGTGTCCCCCTCATTCTCTCCCGGTCTGAGGGAAGGGCTCCCCGCTTCTGTCTCCCGCGGGCTCCCTTCTGTGTCCCCCTCATTCTCTGGGGGTCTGAGGGAAGGGCTCCCCGCTTCTGTCTCCCGCGGGCTCCCTTCTCTGTCCCCCTCATTCTCTCCCGGTCTGAGGGAAGGGCTCCCCGCTTCTGTCTCCCGCGGGCTCCCTTCTGTGTCCCCCTCATTCTCTGGGGGTCTGAGGGAAGGGCTCCCCGCTTCTGTCTCCCGCGGGCTCCCTTCTGTGTCCCCCTCATTCTCTCCCGGTCTGAGGGAAGGGCTCCCCGCTTCTGTCTCCCGCGGGCTCCCTTCTGTGTCCCCCTCATTCTCTGGGGGTCTGAGGGAAGGGCTCCCCGCTTCTGTCTCCCGCGGGCTTCCTTCTGTGTCCCCCTCATTCTCTCCCGGTCTGAGGGAAGGGCTCCCCGCTTCTGTCTCCCGCGGGCTCCCTTCTGTGTCCCCCTCATTCTCTCCGGTCTGAGGGAAGGGCTCCCCGCTTCTGTCTCCCGCGGGCTCCCTTCTGTGTCCCCCTCATTCTCTGGGGGTCTGAGGGAAGGGCTCCCCGCTTCTGTCTCCCGCGGGCTCCCTTCTGTGTCCCCCTCATTCTCTCCCGGTCTGAGGGAAGGGCTCCCCGCTTCTGTCTCCCGCGGGCTCCCTTCTCTGTCCCCCTCATTCTCTCCCGGTCTGAGGGAAGGGCTCCCCGCTTCTGTCTCCCGCGGGCTCCCTTCTGTGTACCCCTCATTCTCTGGGGGTCTGAGGGAAGGGCTCCCCGCTTCTGTCTCCCGCGGGCTCCTTTCTCTGTCCCCCTCATTCCCTCCCGGTCTGAGGAAGGGCTCCCCGCTTCTGTCTCCCGCGGGCTCCCTTCTGTGTCCCCCTCATTCTCTCCCGGTCTGAAGGCAGTTTCTGTCCTCCCTCCGTGCCCGTCGCAGTCGCTGTTTCCGCGCCTCCTCCCTCCATTACACTCTCCCGTCCGGCTTTCTGTCTCTGTCGCCCCGCTCCTGTAGTCTCCTGAGAGGCCCAACCCTCCCACTCCCGCCGAGAGTCTCGCCGCACGCGCTCTTTCCCGCCTTTTCTCCTGGCGCTCGGCACGCATGCGCACGCGCGGTGGCCCGGGACTGGAGGGGTGGGGCCGGCGTTCATCTGCCTAGCACCTCGTGACGTCACAGTGGCGCTGCGATTCCTGATCGGCCTCCGGCTCATCGCCTGCGGTAACAATAGCTGGGCGCAGGGCCGTCAGGTCCCAAGAAGGGGGCCTTGATATGGGGAAAAGGAGGCGGGGAGCAGGCCCTGGGGGGCCGTGACGTGGTGGTGGTCGGCTCACGTTGTCAATCAGAGCTATCACTGCGTTTCCACAGGCGGAAACGGGCGCTCCCCGAGGTGATGCTCCTGGTTCAAGGGCTGCCGGGGTTGCAGCGCCTCCCTAGCCCATAGCGCCCCCTCGTGGTGGAGGCGGGCAGGTGCCGGGCACGGCGGCTGCGGAGACCGCTAGTCCAGCCCCGGACCCCTCCCGTAGGGCAGGGCGGCAGCCAAAGAGCGGAAATACACGCAGAATAACAGATTATGCCGGGGAAATGAAAAGACAGCCATGTGTGCAACTTTATCAGTGGGAAGACTTAGGTTCTATTGGATTGAAAAAAAAATGGGAAGACTCGGAGGTGCGTGCGGGGAGGGGAGGGAGACCCAGCAGGCATGCGTTAGCTTCAGGAGCAACGTAACCTTGGAAAAGCGACTTGGTCTTTTTCAGTCCCCGTTCCTTTCATTTATTTCTTTCTTCATTCATTCATTTATTGAGACGGAGCCTCGCCTCTGCCTCCCGGGTTCAAGTGACTCTCCTGCCTCAGCCTGAGTAGCTGGGAATACAGGGTCCTGCCACCACGCCCGGCTAATTTTTGTATTTTTAGTAGAGATGGGGTTTCACCATCTTGACCAGGCTGGTCTTGAACTCCTGACCTCCTAGTACACCCACCTCGGCCTCCCAAAGTCCTAGGATTACAGGCATGAGCCACCGTGCCCGGCCACCCGTTTCCTTCTCTGGAAGAATACAGTGGGGCTCCAGGGTTGTTGGGAAGACGCAAGGAGAGCTCGCCTACTCTGCCGGCCCTGCAGGACTCCAACTGTGGGCCATAGGAACTGCGGTTACATCCACGATCCAGAGGGGAAAAAGCTAGGCTCGGAGAAATTTAACTTAGGAGCCACGATTACAATCTGTTTTAAATGATTTCACTCGTTTGCTCCTCGGATTGGGAACCGTGTACGCTGAAACAGAAGCAGGAGTCTGGAGTCCGACTCTCCTGCCAGGTGTCAACCGTGGTTCCAACCCAGATTCGAACTAGTTGGGTGACCTCAGGCCCCAACTCAATGAGGAAAATGTGTGTGAAATCGTTTAAAACCGCAAAATATTGCTTGTTAGAGTTATTTGCTGAAAATGAACAACAGCTGCAGGATTCCAGGGAAGGAGCTATTATTTGTAGCAGAGAAATCAAGGAAACCTCACAGACGGGATGGTATTATTTCACCAGCAGACACAAGGAGAAAAGGAGTTCTCAGAGGAGCAAAGGCTGAGGGAAATTTGCATTGTCAGAACTTTTCAGTGGTGTTGTCAATCTCTGCTAGACTTCCAGCTCTATGAAAGATCCGTATCTGCTTCCACTGCTGCCATAACACATCACCACACATTTAGTGCTTTAAAACAATGCAGTCTTATCATCGTGCACTTTTGTAGGTCAGAAGTCAGACTCCATTAGTGGGCTAAGATCAAGGTGTCAGCCTTTGGAAGGCTCTAGGGGATATCCATTCCCCTGCCCTTTCCAGCTTCTAGAGGCCACCTGCATTCCTTGGCTTGTGGCTCCACCCCCATCATCAAAGCCAGCAACACTGCGTCTCTCTGATCTTTCCTCTGCCTTTGTATCTCTCTCTCTCTCTCTCACTGTGGCTTGAAAGGTTCTCTGATTTTATTTATTTATTTATTTATTTATTTATTTATTTATTTATTTTTGAGACCGAGTCTCGCTCTGTTACCCAGGCTGGAGTGCAGTGGTGCAATCTCGGCTCACTGCAGCCTCCACCACCCAGGTTCAAGTGATTCACATGCCTCAGCCTCCTGAGTAGCTGGTATTACAGGCACCCACCACCACACCTGGCTAATTTTTGTATTTTTAGTAGAGATGGGGTTTCACCATGTTGGCCAGGCTGGTCTTGAACTCCTGACCTCAGGTGATCCACCCACCTCAGTCGCCCAAAGTGCTGGGATTACAGGCTTGAGCCATGGTGCCCAGCGAGTTCTCTGATTTTAAGGACTTAGATTGGGGCCACTTGGTTAATCCAGGATAATTTTCCCATTTCAAGGTCTAGACCCTTAATTACATCCACAAGGTCCCTTTTGCCATGTAAAGTAACATATTCACAGTTTCTGACTGGGGCATGTGCATCTTTGTCCTACACACTAGGGATTCCGGACAGATCCAATATCTTGTCTATTATGGATCTGTCTGGAATTCCTAGTGTCTAGGACAACGCTTGAATCTCAGTAGGTAATTTTTACATTATTTGTTAAATGAATGAACGAACAGATGAGAGATGGCAGTGTAAGTCTAGAGAGACAGAGGAGATAGGACGGGAGGCTTGCGGAGTTTTGATTTTTATGAAGCAGCATTTCTTCAGTCTTCCTGGATGATAGCGTTTGGAGACCCACTCTCTCCAGCGTTCATGTGTCAAAGGCCTCCTGTGTGACAGAATGTGTACTAACTACTGGGAGGTGGCGTTAAGGAACAAAGCAAGGGGAGGGGCAGAGCAGGCTGCGGGTTGCAATTTAAAATAGGAGGGACAGGCATTGGTGGCTCATACCTGTAATCCCAGCACTTGGGGAGGCCGAGGCAGGAGAATCGCTTGAAGCCAGGCGGTGGAGGTTTCAGTGAGCCGAGATCGCGCCACTGCACTCCAGCCTGGGCAGCAGAGTGAGACTCCGTCTCTAAACAAATAAATAAATCAGGCAGACTGGATTAGGGCCTACTCAAATGGCCTCTTTTTACCTTACTTACCTTTGTAAAGGTCCTGTCTCCAAATACAGTTCCACTCTCCTGAGTAGCTGGGATTACAGGCACCTGCCACCATGCCCAGCTAACTTTTTGTATTTTTAGTAGAGATGGGGTTTCTGCATGTTGGCCAGGCTGGTCTTGAACTCCTCACCTCAAGTGATCTGCCTGCCTCAGCCTCTCAAAGTGCTAGGATTACCGGCTTGAGCCACGGCGCCTGGCCCAAATGCCCTTATTTTACATGCTTGTTTAGTGACAGTTTCTGTTACTGGTAGCGGAGAGCATCTGAGCTGAACCAAGAAGGTCTCCACAAGGTCAGGGAGGAGCTGAAGTGATGGCGCAGTTGAGGCGGGATGATGCCTGGACTGGGGCTGGGCCCAGGAGGAGAGAGAAGGGGAGCCACATTCAAAGGGAAGGTGAAGACTCAATCCTCTTCCCCATGTCTCTCTAGGTGGCAACGATGGTTACAAGGTTCCTTGGATGTGGGACACAGCTTCAGGAAGGGGCCTGGCTGAAGGGACCCCTACTTTAGGCAAACTAGGACCCACCATTGCAGCTGGCGTCACCAGGAGCCCAGGCAGTCCTCCAACTCCAAGGGTTCATGGGGACACAGGTGAGGCATGTGGCTGGGGTGAGGGGACTGGGGCGGTATGTGTCGTGGGGTAAAGAGACAGATTCCAGACTCCCCAGTGGAGCCCCAACTCTCACTCCAGAAAGACTCAGCAAAGATGTATTCTAAAACCAGGGGTTATCGGCGGGGCATGGTGGCTCACGCCTGTAATCAGAGCACTTTGGGAGGCCAAGCGGGGAGGATTGCTTACGCTTGGGAGTTTGAGACCAGCCTGGGCAACATGGTGAACCCCCTCAAGATCTGAACATTAGCTGTCCCAGCTGCTTGGGAGGCTGAGGCAGGAAAATCCCTTGAGCCTGGGAGGTCAAGGCTATGATGTGCCATTGCATTCAAGCCTGGGTGCCAGAGTGAGACCTTGTGTCAAACAGAAACAGAACCAAGGGGTTATTATCTCTAGACCAGTGGTCATCAACTAGGGCCAATTTTGCCCCCAAGGGGCATTTGGCAATATCTGAATATATTTGGGATTGTCATGGCAAGAAGTGGAGAGGCTGCCCATTGGCACCTAACTGGTAGAGGCCAGGGATGGAGTGAAATATTTCATAGTGCACAGGACACATTCCCATAACAACGAACCACCCAGCCCTAAATGACAATATTCCTGAGGTTGAGAAACCCCAACCTATGTGGCATAAGTCACTGTGACAGATAGGAAAATTATAGGAAACCCTCGATGAGAAAGAGGAAAAGATACAAACGGGCGATTCACAGAACAGGAAACCCAAATGGCTGGGTGTGTTTAGAAACGCTCACACTCATTGGGAACCAGAGAATAGAAATCCAAACAAGCATGGAAGAGAATTAGAAAGGTGGGTATGATCGCCCAAGGTGCCCCCACAGCACCAGCAGAAGCCTCTTCCACTGGGCAGACAGGCCCCCAGAGTGCGCTTTGGGAGCTGTAATCCCAGCATTTTGGGAAGCCAAGGTGGGCAGATCACTTGAGCCCAGGAGTTTGAGACCAGCCTGGGCACCATGATGAAACCCCGTCTCTACCAAAAAATACAAAAATCAGCTGGGTGTGGTGGCGCACACCTGTAGCACCAGCTGTTGGAGAGGCAAAGGTGGGGGATTGCTTTAGCCCAGGAGGTGGAGGTTGCAGTGAATTGCAATCACACCCCCTGCACTCCAGCCTGGGTGACAGAGCCAGACCCTGTCTAAAAAAAAAAAAAGGAATTCCACACAATGGAATTCTGTGCGGCAGCTAAAACCATGAGTAGACGTATACACAGCAATATAGATAGGTATTAACAACGTAATACTGAAGGAAAAAGTCAGAAAGAGAACAATATTTCCAGCTGAATGCCATCTGCAAAAGTTAAAAGCATAAACACAAAAATACATAGACACAGTTAAAAGACACGCTATATGGAAGCCAGACATGATGGCATGTGTCTGTAATCCCAGCTACTCAGGAAGCTAAGGTGGGAGGATCCTTTGAGCCCAGGAGTCTGAGTCCAGCTCTGGTGACATAACAAGACCCTGTCTCTAAATAAAACAAAAACGAAAGGAACGTGCTGTGCTTTATAAGGACACACACGTGTTTAAGGCCGAGTGTCAAACACAGCAGCGGAGGGGCCTGTAGGAGAGGGTGCTGAGGATAGAGGCTGGGGATAAGGAGGCTCGAAATAAAAGTCAGACAAGAGGGACACTGCAGGGACTGCTGGTTACAGGGCACTGAGGGGTACGATGAATGCAGTTATCTGCACCTTGGGTCTGAAAAATTAACAACCATTACCATTCTAGGTATCTGAGCACCTATAATATCTACCTAAGTGGAGAGTCTTGAGATAATAACAAAAAACATGTAACATTTATTAAACAAAATACACCATGTTAGGCACTATTCTAAGCAATATATATATATAGAGAGAGAGACTATATATAAATATATATATATAATGTCTACATGAGCTTGGCCAGGCATGATGGCTCAGGCCTGTAATCCCAGCACTTTGGGAGGCGAAGGCAGGCAGATCACTTCAGGTCAGGAGTCTGAGACCAGCCTGGCCAACATAGTGAAACCCCCGTCCCTACTGCTGCTCTACTAATAATAATAAAATTAGCTGGGCGTGATGTTGGGCGCCTGTAATCCCAGCTACTCGGGAGACTGAGGCAGGAGAATTGCTTGAACCTGGAGGCAGAGGTTGCAGTGAGCCGAGATCACAACACTGCACTCCAGCCTTGGCAACAGACGGAGACTCTGTCTCAAAAAGAAAAAAAAAAGGAGAGAGAGAGAGATCTACATGAGACTGTCTCAAAGAAAGAGAGAAAGAGAGGAAGGAAGGAAGGAAGGGAGGGAGGGAGGGAGGGAAAAAGAACAAAAGGAAGGAAGGATGGAAGAAATTTACCTGAGCTCCATGATGTAGACCTATAATTTTGCCCATTTCTCAAATGAGTGAAATTGAGGCACAGGTATCAATGACTCTGACAACATCAGTAATTATGAGAGTGCTTATTCCATGCTAGTCATTAAGCTAAGTGCTTTGCACAACCATGATCTCCCTGAGTCCTTTTGACAACTCTGCAAGGGAGATACGTTGGTCATCTATAATCTACAGGTGGGGAAGAAACTGAGATCTGATCAGTGAAGTGATTTGCCAGTCACCCAGCTAGGAAGCCAGGCAGCTGCGGTCTAGACTGGGACAGCCGGCTTTGAGCACAAGCGCTTTATCTAACCACTTCTCCAGTCCTGCAAACAAAGGACAGTGTGGGGAAGGAATGCCCTCAAAGACCCTGCAGGAACCGTGGAAATATGCAGATCTGCGGGGTTCAATACGGTAGCTGTGAACACAGGGGACTGTTTACATTTAAATGAATCAACACTTTCTAAATGAAACATTCAGTTCCTCATTCACACTGGCCGCATTTCAAGGGCACAGTAGCCACATGTGGCCAGTGGCTACTGTATTGGCACTGTGGATCATAGCACATTCCCTCACCGAGGATGTGGTATTTAACTGCCTAGACTCTATGTGCAAACAACTTGGGTTCAAGTCTTATCCCTGCAACTTGCAAGCTGTGTCTGTGTGACCTTGGGCAAGTCATGTGGCCTCTCGCTCTCATTTCCTCCATCTGTAAAATGGGGATACAACTGGCACTCACTTAGAAGCCAGTCCCAGAAGAGGATGAGGCTCCTCCTGCTACTCAGGCCCAAAACTTGAGGGGGTGCCAAAAACAGCAAAATCAAGATACATAATATCATAATACAGTATTTTTAAAAATAAAAATTAATGGAAAAAACCACCCATGATGAGCTGAAGACAGGATCCTATCCACCTCACTGGGCTCACCCTAATCCCGGCCCTGTTGGGTCCCGTCTTTGGTTAAAATGTTATCTTTGGTTAGCTGTGGATCTTTTGCATTAATTTTTATTGTTTAAAAATATTGCATGAAAACGCTTGAACACAGGAGTTCAAGATCACAGTGAAGTATGATCTTGCCACCGCTCTACTCCAGCCTGGGCGATACGGCCAGACTTTAACTTAAAAAATAAAAAATTCCATAAAGATATTTATCTTGATTACTAAAATTACCCTTCGGAGCCCTGTTGGGTCTCCCTGCCTCCCCCGGCTCCCCACATCCCCCAGACCCCGCTGTCTGCGAATCCTCCCGTACGCTGCACACTTCTGAGCACTCCTGCTTCCTCCCGGGTCCCAGCATCCCTGCATCCCTCCCTCACCTCACCCTCCTGCACCCTCTCCTGCAACCTGCGTACCCCTCCACATTCCCTCGTCCGGAGCATCCGAGCATCCTCCAGCAGAGGAGGACGCCAGGTGGCGCCTGGAGACATCGGAGGAAGCCGGGAGGAGGGGCCGCAGGGCCGGGTAAAATCTGCCGGTGACCCTTGACGTCTCGAGGCTCTGCGGCTTTCCATTGGTCGGCTGCTCGAGGGGCGGGGAGAGGCGCGGGGTGGGCGGAGCCGGCTGACCTCAGACCGCCTGTCTGTTTTCCCTTCTCCTCCTCCTCCAGGTTCCCCAAGGAAACCGTGGCCGGAGCGCAGGCCGCCGCGGCCCACTGCTATCAGGACAGCGCCCCCCACCCCGTCCACAGGTCCCTCCGCCTCTCCGGGACCCCCAGGCCCAGCGCTGACCTCTGACTCCAGTGTAGAGCTCACTCCCCGCTCAGCCTTAACGCCCGAGGCGACCTCTGACCCTGCGGACACTTCACCCACCTCAGACCCGGCCTCCCGGACCAACCCCGACCTTAGCTTGACAAGCCCCGACTTTGCTTTGTCCACCCCTGACTCCAGTGTGGCTCCACCGCTGACCCCGGAGCTGTCACCCACGCCCCCACCCACCTTGCTCA